ACTCAAATTTTGCCTTGTGTGTCATAGATTAATGGATTTGATTAAAACTTACATTTGAAGCAAGGGCAGCCTTTTTTTTTTGAGAGAAAAATACAGATTACATCTCATTCTAATCTAATATTCTTCTTTTTCACTTAAGCTTGAACTGGTATAAATGTTCTATGACTGCCAAATTTGCTCTTTTATTAATTTTGTAGTAAATAGAAACATTTTTATAGATTTTTGCAAAAAAATCCTTTTCCTTCTTGGCAACTGATACCCAATATTTGAAAGCCAGATACTTCATTTAAAACTCAATATAAAAGTTGAAGGATAGAATCTATTAATAAATGCAAATTGAGAATAATAATAAAGAATAACAGTGGATAGTAAGAACAGTAGTTATAAATATTTATGTAGTATTAGTGTAAGAGGAAACAAAGTATAGCCCTAAAATTCAACCATTTGTAAGCAGTTTTAAAGTTTGATGAGTCTTTAATGTCCAAGAGTGAATTGAAGCTGTGTGATATACTGTGGGAGTGCCAAAATTCAGCTTTTCTGAATTGGGAAACACATTTATTCTGTAGTTCTGTGACTCCACTTTTCGTGATTCTTAGAACTTCCTGGCCATTGGTTTTACAATCAGGTAAAATCTGTTAAATATTGAGAATATTGCCACTTCTAATCATAAGTTTATATTGTCTTCAGTGGAACTGTGTTAATAATTTTTTTCCTTTCTGCACATACTGCCAAAATACGTAAGATGGGAAAATTGACATAGAGATTTGGATTAGTCCCACAGCTCTGGAGAAGTAAGTGAAATTAGTGCAGAGATGTGAGATAGGAGGCTGAGTGCACTTTTCCCAGAGTTAATTCCCAATTGAGCCATATTTGTGTAGAGTAGAACCTTAGTAGACTGTGCACAGGATCTCATACAAATTTCCCTGGGTAGGCCTTGTTGAAATTGTATCAGGGGCTGGAGTTATAGTACAGAGGGGAGGATGTTTGCCTTGCATTTGGCCCACCTGGGTTCGATATCTGGCATCCCACATGGTCTCCTGAGCATCACTGGGTGTGACCCAAAAAGAAAAAAAAATGGTAGCATGGTCTATTATGGTCATTAAGCACTTGCTATTCCTGAAATTATGAGTTTGTTTTTAAAAAGTCAGGTAGGATAGCAAAGGAAATAATGACTTAGCTTTGGTGGTTTATGTGAGATAATAGTGGCTAGGGCACTTCCCTTGCATGTGCATACTCACATTTGATATTTAGTACCACATATGGTCCCCCAAGCACTGCCAGGAGTGATCCTTGACTGCAAAGCCTGGAGTAAAACCTGAGCCAATAGAAACAAAACAAAATAAAGGACAGACTTGGTATTTGCTCAGTGTTTGGGTAAATGGTTTTAGAAGACCCATTGAGTTACCATTCCTTTCCTTCTTCTGGTATCTTCCTTCTCAGTGGACCAAGTTACTTATTTTGGCTTTTTAAGGAGTAAGCATGATAGAATATAAATATCACCTTTGAAAGCTTTCATTTGGAGGTCCATAAGTATATGCATACTATGTTTCATAACTATCCAGGACTTCCCTTTTTCTAGATGAGGAAAGTCAGGCTCAGAGCCAGGCTTTAGTGCCATGTTCTTGAACATAGCACACATGGACAGTGCAACCAGTGTTGTATTGGAAGAAATCAGGAGACTTAATTAAAAAAATCGAACATATGTACTTTTATTGTATTTTCAGTTATAACCTATTTGAAGCAGCTGTAATGTGGCTTTTTGGAAAAACCAACACCATTAAGTTGAAAGATTTGAAACTGATTTCCAGCACTTAATTGTAATGTAAATGTAAATTGGTGTCTAATCTGACTTTGGGTGAAATAATTAACCTCTTCTGAGCCCTTCTGCTTCCTCTTTTATAAAATGGGTACAATCATATGCTCTATCAGAGATTTAGATTGGCTATGATTATCCAGTGAAATGATAGTCATGCTTGAAAATTAGCAAGTTAGCAGATAGGACTTCTAAGTATTAAGTCACTACATGGATTATTTTCTAGACACTGAAAGAGTTATTAAAGTGACAGGTTTGTTTCTTTGTCTCAGAGGTACAAGTCCTGGGCATGAAACGTCCTCTTACAATCAGTAGTAAAAAAGTGCTGTGGAAATTTAGGGTGGGGGAGTGTCACTCTGCAATAGTGAACTTGCCCAGGAAAGTGCACAGTGTAATGGATTAATGAGATTTTAAAAGATGTAGTATTCAGATGGAAAAGTAATCTACCTTGTGAAAATTTTCCTTTCCTTTTAAAAGGAAAAACCAACTAAGGAACTTAGGGTCACCATATGCCTTTTGAAAAAAGGTTCACCTATGGGCTGCCTTGAGCTGTGGAACTTGGATGGAGCTTCTCAGTTCTTATGACAGAGGGTGGAAGTGCTTTTTAGAAGACCAGTCCTTGGTCATACTCATCCCACTACCTTTTCAGAATATAGACCTTCGAGGAGGAAATCTTTTCTGAAACCTCTAGGTCAACATTCATCAATCTTAGGTAGGTTAGCAGTCAATTTTTTTTTTCCTTAGTTGAATAACAAAGAGAACACTGGCGAATTCAGGCTTTTTAAAAAAGATTATACATTCTTTTGGCTAAAAATAGTATTGGTGGTTACAAGAACTCAGCCAACATTAAAAGAGTTATCAGTCTTGCTTTGGGAAACAAGGTAACCAACCAACTGTTTTCAGAAAGACTACCTCTCCCATTCCAGTGATTAGTTAATAAAATTATTCCTGACACTGGCAGACAAGGCGCTCGAGTAGTTACATATTTAGAGACAGAGAACCCATTGTGCCAAGATCTCAGAAGAGCCTTTGCAAACACAGAGAAGGGCTTTAGAACAATTTGCATAAATCTCCCCCTGGATAGTGACATGGCTCCAGTTTAGGGGTGGTTCCAGGAACCCCTCCCTGGTTGTATCATGGGGTGACGCTGTGTTTGGTGAGAATTCAGTCTCATGACGATTTCTGCCAGCAGGATTGGGTGATGGGACACTGAATAAGCCCACTGTTTGGTTCTACATAAGGACTCTTTGTGTTGCCTGAGGCAGCCATGTTCAAGTTGGTCTTGCTTTTCCCCCAATGATGTTTTTGGACTTTGTGGGCTGGAGAATTAAGCATAACACCTATTCTGAGTTAATCTGTCAGATTTTATTCTTGGAAGGCAACCACAGCCCCTTGTATTTCTAGAATGTAGAGAATAATCACCATACCATGGGGAATCTGAATTTTTTTTAAAAAAAAATTAACTTGGGGGGAAAAAAGGGGAAATCTTGCTTTAGCATATCCAGATAACTAGGCACTCACTCCTATTCCTGCTGAAATGGTGGGAATTCCCCCTGTTTATATGATTTGCATGGTTCACTAATCTTTTTTTAAAGAACTATGTTCTCTTGCACAGTTAATAACCAATACTTTAATATTTAGTATTCCATTCTATAAGGACTTGAGTTACCCTGGAGAATAGTTAAAGAATGCCAGGTAGTTACAAATCTGTTTCAACTTTCCATTCTTTTTTTTCTGTTTTGAAAAATGCTATACATTAAACTAGATTTTAGGAGCTTTACTAATTTCTTGCACAGAATGTTATCATTCTAGAAGCCACATCGGATTCTAATTTAAAATTCAAGGAGCAGTTTGTGCACTGGGGAAATTTGGTGCTTTAAGTACAAAAATGAAATCCACTAATTTCTAACCTAGAGTTTATTTTCTTTCAGTCTGCTAGTTTGATTTCTCAGCTTTGTTCTAAAAATATAAACATTTTTATGTTTATTTATAGGTGGCTTTAACCAAGAGAGCAGATCCAGCTGAGCTTAGAACAATATTTTTGAAGGTCAGTATAAAGGAATCTATTTTGTTTCTTGTTTGATTTGCATTCTCTAACTTTCAACGATTATTTTCAAGCAGCTCTATATTTTATTGTTACATATATACTTAAATCCCCAAAGGTTACATATTTAAGACTTAGGAAAAGTGATCCTTTACAAGTTTATCTTTTAAAAATTATATTGGAAACTTGTAGGTGATTGTGATAATGCCAAGGTTCGCATTTTAATTTCTTTTTTCCTCCTGTGGTAACAGGTATTAAAGAGGACTTGTTGGAGGATTTAGTCATATAACCCATTTACCTTTCTAGGATTGACCTGTGCAGTTTAGTGATAATTTTTTTTTGTCTCATAAGATGTTTAATGTTTTTTGTAAATATCTCAAAAATTATTCATCCAAGTCATGAAATTTACATACAAGTGGTACTACATGGAAAGTATCATGCTAAGCGAAATGAGTCAGAAAGAGAGGGACAGACATAGAAAGATTGCATTCATCTGGGGAACATAAAGTAAGAAAATAGGAGACTAACACCCAAGAATAGCCGAGATAAATACCAGGAGGTTTACTCCTTGGCTTGGAGGCCAGCCGCACACTCTAGAGGTAAAGGCAGCTCAGATAGAGAAGGGAGCACCAAATAAAGGATGTTGGGAAGATCTGCCAAGGATGGGAGATTGTATGCTGAAAATAGACTATAGATTGAACATGATTGCCACTCAATTCCTCTCTCGCAAACCGCAGCACCCAAAAGGAGAGAGAGAACAAAAGGGAGTGCCCTGCCACAGAGGCAGGGTGAGATGGGGGATGGAGGGCGGGAGGGATACTGGGATTAGTGGTGGTGGAGAATGGGCACTGGTGGAGGGATGGGTACTCGATCATTGTATAACTGAAACCCAAGCACAAACATTTGTAAGTCTACAACTGTACCTCATGGTGTTTCACTAATATAAATTAAAAATAACTAAATAAATAAAATAAGCTTTTCAAAACGAAAAGAAAAATAAAAAAGAAAGAATTATTCATCCAGAGAAAGCTCTATTGCCTTGATATAAACCATTGTTATCTTCAGCATCTTCTTATTACAACTGTGTGCCTGGTGACAAGGCCTCAGTTTGTGTAATAGTATATGCTGGACCACAAAAGACACCCAAACAAAGTTTATTTCCTTGTGTTCTTACCTTTCAATTACTTTGTGATATTGGGCAGTGAAGGATTAATACTAATAAAACCACTTCAGATCCTGTTCACTGATCCCATTTTTATGTTATTCAACTGGAATTAAAGTGCTTAAAAAGAAAGAAGGCAGTTTTGTAAGGAAAATTTAGAAAGTATACATTTGGGCCTTTTCTGAACACTACAGAAAGGCAGCTATGCCAATAAAGACTTCAAATGAGAAACTTGATGTTTTTCTTAAAAAAGTAAAAAGGCTTAGAAATTTATTCTCTGATCACTTTCCTCATCAAAATTGTTACGATGTAAAATAATTAAAAAAAAACTGGGACTCTGAATACTGACCAAATTATATGACAATAATGAATTGTTATTAATTGATTTGAAGACTGGATAATGGTTTCTGACTAATAGAAAAGGTCTTTTTTCTCCTCATGGAGACATGTACTGGAGTATTCACAGAGTAGATTAGTATGTCTAAGATTGGCTTTTAAATAATCCAATTTGTGGTGCAGGAAAAAAAACGAATAGGTGGTGGTAATAAATTTTGTAATGGGTAATAAAATGTTTTATTACGTACTCCTCTCTACTTTGTAAATGTTTAAACGTCTTCATAATAAGAAATTACAACAACTTAGGAAGATTCAAGAAGTTTTAGTTGAAATGCCTAGTACCTAAAATACATTAGATATTGATTTAGAAAATGCTCAAAAGTAAATAATTTGAGCACAAATAAATACAAAGATTGCAAAAGAAAATATTAAAAATGAGTATTTTTTAGCTTATAAAATACTTGAAATTACATAATTTGAACACATGCAAAACAAAAATCGCAAAAGAAAATGGTTAAAAACAGAAACACTTTTTGCAGGGAGGAAAAGAAGACAAATTTGTAAGGAAGTTTGAATATTATGTTTGTAAGCAGAATCTTTATAAATCTTAACTCAGAGAGGACAGGGCAAAAAGCAGAGAGAGACAGAGAGAGAAGGAGAGATCAAGAACTGTATGAGGGAAACTGGGGATATTGGTAGTGAAGAGATGGTTGTTGGAACATTATAGGACTGAAACCTAGTCATGAACAACTTTGTAGCTGTTTATCTCACTGTAATACAATTAAAAAAAAAAGAGAGAGAGAGAGAAGGAGGGAGGGAGGGTGGGTAGAAATTCCCAGGTGGATGAAGATTCTAGATGATGAGAACCCAAATCCACAAAGCATTTGTCTCTTATCTACACTTAAGTCTCCTGCTCTGCTACTTGGGCCTACCCTGTTGGAATGAGGCATGTATGAAGGAACCATAACATGTAGTATATGTATTTAAGCTCCAGTTAAGGAAGTCCATTTGCAGAAGAGCATCTGTGTGCCAAAGAGCCAATATGAAAATTGGCTTAAGCTTTTAACTTGAGCTGACATTCTTAATTGTTCGCTGATCTCAGGAGCTGACTGTTTTCTAAACCAGCAGTGGTTAATGCGTGTCCATCCAACGAGAAATCAGAAAAATATCCACTGTCTTGGTAGAAAGTGTGTTTTGAGCGCTTACTGGTAGTGTGATGTCATCTATTAGAAAGCCTCCATGTCAGAGAAGAGTACAGTCTGAGGCCAGGTGGCAGCTGACAAAGCGAGGTCAAGATTTGCTTTGGATTCCAATAGCTGCATTCATTCTCCATCATGGACCTGTCTACATTGGGAACAAATCAGATTGGTAGGCAGACAAAGAAGGGTAGGAATACTGTGCAACATTCCGGAGAGAGACCCAGGTCGCTTCTGTGTAATTGGCCTGCAGTCTGGGACTGGGGACTTTGGGATCAGATTGAGCAATGCTCTCTTCCCTTGGAGTGGCTAGGACTACGTGGCTTCTGAGTGTGAGGTCTGCAGGACTGACAGACCGCGGGAATGATTTGAGGGGAAGTGTCCGTGCAGAAAATGGTGATCAGCAGTTTCTGGAAGGGATTGTGGATCTGGCAAAAACTTCTGGTGATCTCATCAGTCCTGGATAGTGTGGTACCCACACAAATCCACCTTGGCTCAACTTGCTGAGGATCTCTTGTTTACCATGTACCGCAGACGGGGTTGTGGTGGGGGAAGAATAGGGAAGGAGGCGCCATGGGGGCTGTGCCAGGCACGTCTTGGCTACGGCTGGGCTCTTTAGTTAAGTACGGATCAGCAGTAAGCATTCTGCAAACCTGACTACTTTGCTGACTCCCTGTGACTTCTGCCTGGCTTGATTTTCTCCCTGAGAAAGGTCCCAACTGTGTTTCTGCTAAACTAGTTAGGAAGGATTGTTCTGTAATATGGGGGAGGTGGCGAGATACTCTAGACCCTAATGCTGGGAGCAAAGGGCTTGGCATCTGTGGGGCTGGAGAAAGCTTGCGGAGGCAAGACAAATGAAGAAGGGAGCTAAGGGATGAAAATGGACCCAATTTGGAAGGGTTGGGGGTATTTTATCTTTTATTAAATCGTTTTTGTTTTGTTTTGTTTTGAAGGGGGAGGGTGGGTCACACCTGATGGTGCTTAGAGGCGATTCCTGGCTCTGTACTCAGGACTCATCCTTGGCCCTCCTTGACGGATTATATGTGATGCCAGAGATGAACGCTGAGTCCTTGGCAGCTGCCTTAATTCCTGTGCTCTCTATCTGGAGTGAAGGGTTTTGTCTTTCTAAGAAGATACTTTCTATCTGGAGTGAAGGGTTTTGTCTTTCTAAGAAGATACTTTATCTTTTTGAGAAGATATGTTGGCTTGATATGTTGGCATATCTAGCCAACACATCCAGATATGTTGGCTTTTTTTTTTTTTTTTAGTGAAGCACCATGAGGTACAGTTGTAGATTTACAAATCTTTGTGCTTGAGTTTCGGTCATACAATGATCAAATACCCATCCCTCCACCAGTGCCCATTTCCCCCCACCCCCCCCTCCCACCCTGCCTCTGTGGCAGGACATTCCCCTTTGTTCTCTCTCTCCTTTTGGGTGTTGTGGTCTGCAAAAGAGGCATTGAGTGGCAATCATGTTCAGTCCATAGTCTACTTTCATATGTTGGCTTGTTTAAGTTTAGCATTGCATGGCCAGTCAAATGACATACAAAATTAACCATCACAAATATATTGGGTTGAATTCTAATTATATTGGAATGGAATTCTGAAAGCCTTTCTGGTTTTTTCTGTTTGTTTTTAAGCATGCAATCATGTTTACATTTCAATCAGTTTTAAGGTAGACTTTAGTATAGCTCAGTGCTAGAGAGCATGACTTGCATATGAAGCCCTGAAGTGCCCCACTTCCCCCAAAAAATATTATAAAGGAGAGAGGCTTCAGGTCACTTGTATAGTTCATTCCCAAAGAAGAATTTTATAATATTATGTAGTATTTTATAAAAATAGAGTTTTTGTCAGGTCTATAACTCCTGTCTTCCCCCACACACCCCAAAAGAGACCCTCTGGTGCCAAAAGTCACCAAAGCTCCCTTTTGTTAATATAGCCTTGCAGTGATCTGCTGCAGTTCACCCGTCTCAGAAACCGTGGATATATTTACTTAAAATCAGGACAAGATACACTAGTTTTGAAAATTGAAGAAAATAAATTTTAGACTATCAGAACTCTATCCAGATTACCATGTCCCTATGTTTAAAAGATGAGTTATCATCTCTAAAAATTGGGAGAGAGAGAGAGAGAGAGAGAGAGAGAGAGAGAGAGAGAGAGAGAACAGCAGGTAACTTGCTTACCTTGATCCCCAGCACCTTCTATGGTCCCCCAAGCCAGCCAAGAGTGAGCCCTGAATGCAAAGCCAGGGTAAGCTCTGAATATGGATGGGTGTGCCCCTCAAAAATATTGAGGCAGAAAAAAATATATCAATGATTTTTTTAAACATGTACTACTTATTTGAGGTGTGATACTGTGCACACATCATACCAGTACACAAAGGGAGCAGACTTAGAAATAGCACTCAGGAGCTCAGTACCCACCTCTCACATGGGTATCTCAGCACTAGATACTTATTTTGTCATACTTTCAACTTTAAACAAAATCATATCCATCCTACACTGTGGTGTAGATTTTAGTTTATCCCTGTTACTTTGTTAATTTTGTGGTGTAAATATACAACAGTTGATTTATAGGTCCTACTGCTGGTTGACATTTTAGTCTCCAAGGAACTGCTGCTATGTTCATTAAAATCCTGAAGCATATTTTTGGGGAAATTATATATTGTCATGTGGACATATATGTGTATAGGTACATGTCTGTATTCGAGATGTCTTCTTGGTTGAAACTGCTAATCAGTTTTCTAAGCTGAAAAGTTTATTCTCAACCATTCACATGTGAGAATTGATTTTACTTCAGAGTTTTACCAACACTATTGGAAAAAAAAATGTAGTTCTATTCATTGTAGGACTAGTAATTGTCAGATGCAAGAGAAGTCTTTGTGTACTTCTCTGGTTTATGTAGAGGCTGGACAATTTATTCAACAAGATTTAGGTTGTCAAAAGGTAAAGAAAATTTTTATTAAGAACACATATACATCTTGTATACATGGCAGAGACCCAGGAAAACGAACTCTTCCACCTGGTTCTAGAAGCTATATTTAAGTAGTTAGGGGAAACAGAAGATGTTGGAGGGAGCGGGAGGAGAAGGGGAGGGTCATTTATGGAGGTTATCAAAGAATATTCAATAAAGTAAACTATGCATATTTAAATTTAGCATTCTCCATTAAAAACATGTAGATTTGATTCTCCAGAGAGATGCTTCTAGGAGAGAGGATTACATGAAAATATTTTAAGGGCAACCTTTGACCTGTTTTTATGACCCTTCCCATGAAATTAGTATTTTTTTGTTTTTGTCCAAAGACATCTATTGGGGTGACAGATTTTTTTGCTCCTAACATAGTTGTATTAAATGTAGTTCTGTTTTGCATTTTCAATGAACTTTTTTTTTAAGGGGTCAGCAACTTGACAATGATCCTGATCCTAAAGGCATTTTGGGAAAATCAAAGAGGGATCATGGCCAAAAAAAAAAGTTTAAAGATCAAAGTAATATTATGTCTTTTAACCTTTCATTCATGTGATAAATATTTATTAAACATGTTTCACTATCTGCCAAGCACCATTCTGAGAACAGAGAAAGACAAGGAAACAGAAAAAAAAAAAACACCCTAGTCTGACAGAGTCTTCTCTTTGGTTATAGCAGTGAAGATGCGTGAAATCTTGCAAGAGTAGACAGGTCAATTGACAAGGATAGTCCTGAAACATTTCCACAGTAATGTTGACAATAACTGTCTGTCCATGCTGGCGTTTTCCCTGTAGATCTGCTCTGAATATGTAGTGAAGTTGGACTTGCTTGCCAAACCTTGCCCCAGAGACTAGATAATAATTTAGTATATAGTAAACATGGTAGCCACAATGACGGGACAATGATTTATTTATGGTCCTGGACAACTAAGAGATTACATGAAGGGAAATTAAGGTTAGAGAATTACCATCTCAAATCCTATTCAAAAGTAAAGTACCAATATTTTTAGATGAATGAGTTAGTCTTTGTTTAAAGAACCTGAGCAATATAGTGAATACTTAATCTTGAGATGAGGAAGCACTAGCTCCTAAACTTAAAATTAATTGCAGAAAAAAATAAATAAACATATATAAGATGTTTATAAGATACTTCCGACCCATTTTCCATAATTACCACACCATATATGATGGGGTTCAGACAGTAGGCAACAAATCATAAAGAGAGATATATAAATATATGCCTCTCGGAGAGCCCAGCAAGCTACTGAGAGTATCCCACCCGCACAGGCAGAGCCTGGCAAGCTCCCATGGCGTATTCGATATGCCAAATACAGTAGCAACAACAGGTCTCATTCCCCTGACCCTGAAAGAGCCTCTACTAGTTGGGAAAAGACGAGTAAGGAGAGGCTGCTAAAATCTCAGGGCTGGGAGGAAGAGATGTTACTGGCGCCCACTGGAGTACATGTACGAACAATGGGATGACAGTGATACAGTGATACTTAATTATATAAAAGTATCAATCTGGAAAAACATTCTCAAGAAATATGATAGATGAAGGGGAAAGGTCTGTCTGTGTTCTTGTACATTCACTGTGGGTGTAAATTGATAGAAACATTTCTCAGAGTGGTGTGATAGTAAGAACAAAGAGCCTGAAAGTTCCTCCTCTTTGAACAATTTCTCTTCCACAAGTCTAGCCTAGGATTTAGACAGATAATATATACAAAGCTGGTTTTCTCAGCTCTACTTAAAAAAAAATACAAAAAATAGTTTAATGTTAACGATGATCTACATGTCTGTTGGTAAAGAGTTAAATTTTGTTTTAAAACAAGTTATTCACTACTATTAACAAACATGTATAGTTCTGAGTCAGCTATAGGCTTGCCGTAATTAGCAGTGACATTTCCTTTACATTTTCATGTTTCCATAAACAGAGATTTAATTGGACTATCTTTTGTTAATGCTGTGCTAAAAATATTAAGTCCCTATGATATAAGTAATTTAGCTACCTGCTTAAGCAGGTGCTGTAGTTATTCGCACTGTGGGCTGGCTCACTCTGTTGTGTGGGGTTGTCTTAAGCACTGTAGGATTTTTTTTCCTAACAGTTTTCCTGGTATCTACCAACTAGAGGCCAGTATCTAGTTGACATCCCCCCCTTCAAGTTACATCAATTGGGGGTCTACTGTTTGCAAGGCAAGAGCCTTCCCTGCTGCACTATCTCCTAGGCACCCCCATGAATCCCTTAAAAAGAAAATCAGTGGACTCAGGGAGCAGGGAGTTAGCGAGGTGACCTGGAACACAGGCTTTGTTTGTGAGAGTCCTGGATTCAATTCCTGGCACTGCCTGGTCCCCCAAGCATCAGAGAGTGACCCCTCAGGACAGCTCCCCAGCCGCCCCAGCAAGTAAAATTAAAGTGACCTTCCACTGAGCAGGATTGTTGCATTGTAATTAACTTCCTCTTAAGGGCTATTATCAGAATCGACTAGTAGTCTTGTTTGGGTTAAAACAGAGGTAGAGCAAAGATAAAAAAACTCCTCCACAAAGGGCAGATAACAGAGAGAAGCCTGGTTCTTATAGAGTGGATTTGACTATTAGGGGCTATCAGCATACTTAAATTGAACAAACAGACTTAATCTGCTCTAGTTAAGAACTGTTAGCATAAACATAAAACTTGGGACACTTGATATTCTAATTATGCAAAATTATGCAAAATAAATGTTCCTGTAAAGTGTGTTATATATATTAATACCTGATCCTCTACCCTTTGAATATTCAGCCTTTCACGTATTGATCTCATGATTATATGCTTTTGAAAATAAGACATCTTTTTTTCTTTTTGCAAACAGTATGCAAGCATTGAAAAAAATGGTGAATTTTTTATGTCTCCTTATGATTTTGTCACTCGATACTTGAACATTTTTGGAGAAAGCCAACCTAATCCAAAGACTGTGGAACTTTTAGGTGGTGTGGTAGATCAGACTAAGGATGGGTAAGTTTATTTTAATTATTTTTAATTATCTCATTTAATTTTTTTCCATTGAGTGAAGCTTGCATTTTATTTCAGTATGTAATCAATCTTGTTTTTTTTATTGAGATATTTTATATCCTTTATAGAACAATTTGTTTTGTTTGAAACAACTGCCTGTTGTTTTATTAGGAAGTCATTGTATACCTCTATCTTTTAAAAGCATTTTCTCCACCTATTATAATGAATATATGATTTTAGATATATACCCAGGTATTTCCTAGTGCTCTGGTCAGAGTTGCACTTCTATCTATGTTTATGTGTGTATTTAATTTGAGGAATAATTTAAATTTCACAGAACTTACGTAATTGAATGGTAAGTCATACTACTGCATTTGTGTGTATATACATATATATATGTAGGTTTTCTTAAGGTAACTGTAAAAATTATAAATAAATAGGGTCCCAGAGCCATAGTACAGTGGATACTGCATTTGCCTTGCAGGTGACTGACTCAAGTTTAATTCCCTATCCTCCCCATGTGTTCCCTTGAGCCTGCCAGGGATGATCCCTGAGTGCAGACCCAAGAGTAAGTTCTGAAACCGCCAGGTGTGGCTGTAAAACAAAACAAAACAAACAAAAATGTGTATATTATAAGTAAATAAAAACATATCTACAGCTACAGCTTTTCTTTAATTTTTTCTCTCTTCAATTATTAAACTTCACACCATGATCATATTCTATGACTGTTACAGAATGGATGATTCCAAACCTTTAAGACAGGCATTCTGCCCAAGTTGGAAAAAAAAAAATGGAACCGTCTACATCTAATGTACATACATTGCCAAAAAAACTTTGAATTTTTTCCCCCCTTTCTGAGACTTCTCTAGTTACATTTTTGTTTTTGGGCCACACCCAGTGGTTCTCGGTGTTTATTCCTGGCTCTGTGTTCAGGGGATCCTGGCATTGCTTGGATGACTGTGTTTGGTGATGGGGATTTGAAGCTGGTCGCTGTATATAAGGCACGGATCACGGTTCACGGTCCTCCCGTTGATCATCGATTTGCTCGAGTGGGCCCAGTAACGTCTCCATCATGAGACTTGTTGTTACTGTGTTTGGCATATCGAATAGTCACGGGGAGCTTGCCAGGCTCTGCCTTGCGGGCGAGATACTCTCGGTAGCTTGCCGGGCTCTCCGAGAGGGGCGGAGGAATCGAACTCGGGTCGGCCATGTTGGCTGCGTGCAAGGCAAACGCCCTACACACTGTGCTATATAGCTCCAGCCATATATAAGGCAAACACCTTACTTTCTTTTTAGCTCTCCAGCACTCTCTTCACAATTTTTCCACTATAAATATACAATTTTAATATTTTGACATATCTCTGAAATCTTATAATAATATTTCTTATTTAAAAAAAATGAATCACAGTGAGATACATAGTTACAAAGTTGTTCATGATTGGGTTTCAGTCATACAATGTTTCAACACCCATGGCATTCACCAATGTACGTTTCCCAGCACCAGTGTCCCCAGTTTCCCTTCTGCCCACCCACCTCCCACCTGCATCTATGCTGGGGACTTTTCTCTCTCTCTCTTTCTTTCTCTCTCTCTTCTTCTTTCTTTCTTTCTTTCTTTCTTTCTTTCTTTCTTTCTTTCTTTCTTTCTTTCTTTCTTCTTTCCTTCCTTCCTTTCTCTCTTTCTCTCTCTCTTTCTCTCTTTCTCTCTTTCTCTTTCTCTCTCTCTTTCTCTCTTTCTTTCTCTTTCTCTCTTTCTCTCTCTCTCTCTTTCTCTCTTTCTCTCTCGTGCACTCGCACACTCTCTCTTTTAGGGCATTTTGGTTTGCAGTACAAATACTGCGATGCCATCATGAATATCCCTTTACTTATTTTCAGCATTCAGTTCTTGTCCAGAGTGATCATTTCCAACTGTTTTTATCATACTGGTCCCTTCTCTATCCTAACTGCGCACAGCCCCCTCTCTTAAAGTTCTTAAGTAGAGATATTCCTAAACTTTAGACGATTTCAAATTCGATTTTATCATTAAATATCAAATCTTGGATTCTAAATTTCTGTTAATGTGAACACCACTGTTTACTAATAACCAAGTATTGTCTATAAGAACCTGCCTTCATTATATAAATTGAGGTAGTCTAGCCTTCTGCTCTAGCTGCTTGTTGGTTGTTGCTTGTTGTTGTTGCTAGATTAAAATTGCCTCCCATTCTGGGCTGACATTCTCTGGCTCTGAGCTTCCTCCATTTGTTGGCAAAGTAACATGTCCATATATTTTTAAATATATGTATATTTTGGGGCTGGAGCGATAGCACAGCGGGTAGCGCATTTGCTTTGCATGCAGCCGACCTGGGTTCGATTCCCAGCATCCCATATGATCTCCTGAGCACCGCGAGGGATAATTCCTGAGTGCAGAGCCAGGGGTAACCCCTGTGCATCGCCAGGTGTGACACAAAAAAGCAAAAATATATATATATGTATATTTTAAATATACAGTGGTTTGAGATACAACCAAAGTAAAATCTCATGGTGTACTGCAAAAATTTTAGTCACTTATACTTCTTTATACACCTTTCATTCCAGTTTGCATGGGAGTATCCTCATTTAATGAAGGTCTTGCAGATTGGGAAGGAAATTGGTAATTGCATTTTCTGTAATATCTTAGAGGAGTACTCTCTGTTCCAGAAGCAGTTACTTGGATTACTTTTGTTTTCTGTTTCCCTCCAAGATGGGATTCTTTGATAGTTAATGTAAAATCTGAGGAGTATTCCTCATGGACCTCTCTGCTATTTATAAGGGAAGGCTATAATATATAAGATAGATACATTTTATTCTGGTTCATTGTGGCAGCAAATATATAGAACATAGATAAGTTCTACCAAACACATTTCTTAGCATACTGCCTGCTTCCAAACTTCCTGTTTTTATGATTCCTAAGAATAATTACCAAATTACACATAATATGAATTGTCTGACTCAGTATTTGAGTCAGTTTTTCTCATAGTTAATTTTTTTTTTTGCTGTCTAAGTGTCAACGAATATTTCCAGTACCTAGTATGTATATTTCCTTTATCTAGTTTAGTTGGTAATGTGTTTTACATTTTAGATGTTTCAAATTTCAGATTTTCCAATTGAATTTAATGTAATTTAATGAAAATTTAAATTTTACATGTTTACACATTGACATGTTACTTAAGTACTGTCTTTCTACGGGTCTCTGAACCAAAAAATATAAACATAATTTCCATTTTTGGCTTCACCATTTGATTCTCAGCTCTTAATGTCAGCATTTATCTTATAAGAATAAGAATATTCACCACCTTTGCCAAATTTAGAGAAATTTTCAGTCATGTTAAATACTATCTAATAGCCACTCTCCATCGAAATGTACCAAATCTGTCCATCTACCTCCACCTTTAATAGTTAATTGCTTTTTTTTAACACCCATGATCCAGTCAGATTTTTATACGACATTTACTTATTATAACTTTTAATCCATTACAGACCTTTATCCTTTAAAAAATAGTAATGACTTTTAAAATCTAGAGTAATTATTTTGACAGTCCCACATTCTGGGTTTGCCTGCTTGAATCCTCACTGGTTCATGTTAAATGAAGATTTGAGAGCAGGTTAAGACCTGTACTGCTTACTGTACTGCCCTAGGAAGCACATTGTTCTAGCAACGATGATGCTCTTGGATCATTTGTTTAAGGGATATCTGAAAAATATATCCTTTGTATATGGACCAGTTCTTGCTTTGTAATTAGCATTTGGAGAATGTGCAAATATCCTGTTTCCCAGCGCCTGTTCACCAAATAATTTTAGAAATCTTGGTGATCCCTTTATGAATTAATATAATGGGGTTTGAAAATGGTGAATTTCCTTTTATTTCTCCCATAGTTATGGTCTAGTATTCTTGGACAAAGCAGAGTGCTCTCTACCTCCTTTTATTTTCTCATTCTTTAATGTTAGTAGAAATTTATGAACTAAATATAAGTTTGATTTATTATAATTTATTATTCTCTCATTTACTCAGATTTCTCAGGTGGTCAGTAGGAGTCCCTTCATAATGGTTCCTGTACCCCTAACTTTTGAGTATTTCTTGCTTTGGCAAGTGAAGATGAACAAGGATCACAAGGATTTTTCTCCCTCTGTACCAGAATCACTTTTTTCAAAAAGTCTTAGTTCTTTTTAGCTGTGAATGGAGCTTGGAAATAAAGAGCTGACTCTGACTTACTGCTGTTTTTCTTATGCTTCACCAGAAAGATTTGGGAAATAGATTTTTCCCAAATTAAAAATTTTACAACATTTTTGTTTAACATGAGCGTTACTGGATTTTTTTCCTTTTGTACTATTCTGTATCACCTTTTCACTGAACATTTGGTTGCAAATCACATTAATGTATTTATGGGCCATTTCATATAGTTGATGAAACTTTCCAGTGGACTTTTTCTTCTTTTCTATATCTGCCCCATTAACACATTCTTCCTGTATCTTTTTTACTGATAGTGTTAAAAATATAGTCTTTATGCATTCAACTCAACAATGTTAGGTTGTTTTACTAATAAAATAATGTGACATATCTGTACACAGTCATTTGCGCATGCACACGTTTCCCCACTCCCCCAAAAATAGTAACATAGCAAATCTGAAACATTGTTTTTGTTTTCCTGGTTTTGTAGGTGAGATAATTGAGACTCTCAGTGCTCAAGCAATTTGCTGGCAGAAGGTGCCTGGCCTCTCTGATTCCAAGATCTTGCCCTTTCCAGTGCTCCTGACTGCCTGTTTTCTCATAATCGAGCAGTCCTCTTCAACTTGACATTTTCTTTCAGATTTTGTTTTATCTTGAATCTCAGTGTTTTATTTGTGACAGAGAAATTCTTAGCTGGCCCTATTTCTTTGCCCTTTGATTTCTTTTTTTTTTCCTTTGTCCTTCAAAGCTTAATAATATCTCAGTATCAAAAGGGAAAACAATCATTAATTAATATTCTCACCTTTCCCATGCATTTATATGC